AGTTGTTAAATGGGTTTTGCCCCATTTCGCCATTTTGCCGCCGTTACGCGAATCACACAATCCTGGCTTCCCCCCTTGACTTTGGCTGTCAGAAGCCGGAAGATGATTCCATGTTTCCCCGAAAATAAGACCGGGTCTTATATTAATTTTTGCTCCGAAACTTGCACTAGGGCTTATTTTCAGGTTAGGGCTTATATTCAGGGGAAATACGGTACTAAATGCGTTCGTCTGGCTGGCAAGCTTAACTGGGGCTTATTTGGGGGGGAAATACGGCACTAAACGCCTCCGTCTGACTGACGATCTTAACTGAGGCTTATTTTGGGGGAAATACGGTACTAAACGCCTCTATCTGGCTGGCGAGCTTAACTGGGGCTTATTTGGGGGGGAAATATGGTACTAAATGCGTTCGTCTGGCTGGCAATCTTAACTGGGGCTTATTTTGGGGAAAATACGGTACTAAACCCCTCTGTCTGGCTGATGATCTTAACTGAGGCTTATATTCAGAGGAAATATGGTACTAAATGCATCCGTCTGGTTGACGATCTTAACTGGGGCTTATATTCGGGGGAAATACGGTACTAAATGCATCTGTCTGACTGGCGATCTTAACTGGGGCTTATTTTGGGGGAAATACGGTACTGAATGCGTCCGTCTGGCTGGCGAGCTTAACTGGGACTTATTTGGGGGGGGAAATACGGTACTAAATGCATTTGTCTGGCTGGCAATCTTAACTGGGGCTTATTTTGGGGAAAATACGGTACTAAACGTCTCCATCTGGCTGATGATCTTAACCGGGGCTTATATTCAGGAAAATATGGTACTAAATGCGCTGACGATCTTAACTGGGGCTTATTTTGGGGAAAATACGGTACTAAACGTGTCTGTCTGGCGATCTTAACTGAGGTTTATTTTGGGGGAAATACGGTACTAAATGCTGAAAAGGGGTACTGAAAAAAGGGATTCATGACCGGGGTCATGTGATTATCATTCGAACGGTCACTAAACGAATCGTCGTACGTCAAGGACCACCCGTAAAGCCCACCTACATGTTAATACCCAGGGCAGGATTCTCTCTCTGAACCGGTTCTCTTTCTCTCCCGCAGCCGCACGGCCGGACTCGGCGCCTGGCGCTCCTGGCTATTCTCCGACAAGCTGGCCCAGCCGCTCGGTCACCAGCCGCTACATCGCAAGGTTGGTCGTGTTCGTGAAAGCGCCCTGGGGTCCTGGGAATGCACCCACACCCGCGTTTCACAGCAAGGAGGGTGACAGCCAGCCATCGCTGGGCGCCGTCCACACTACAGATCCCTAGATCCCTCTGAAGACCAGCGTCCCCTTTAGAAAAGTCTGTAATTCTCAAAATGGCTCCCTTGGAGACCCTACTGATCCCCCAGCCACAGCACCTAGCTAGTTGGGTCTGGTTCTCGGAGGCCAACCAAAATGGGCAGGGCCCACCCAATCAGCAGTCGGCACAGACAAACATCCCAGGTGGAGAGCCATCTTGGCATAATGGTGAAAGTGAAACCAGGAGATGGTGAGTTCCAGTCCTGCCTCAGGCACGAAAGCTGGCTGAGCGACTTTGGACCAATCGCTAGGAGACTGGGAGTTCTAGTCCCGCCTTAGGCATGCAAACTGACTGAGTGCCTTTTGCCCAATTACCAGGAGATGGCAAGTTCTAGTCCTGTCCTAGACATGAAAGCCAACTGGGTGATTTTGGGCCAGTCACCAGGAGACGGGGAATTCTAGTTCTGTCTTAGACATGAAAGCCAGCTGGGTGATTCTGGGCCAGTCACCAGGAGATCGGGAGTTCTAGTCCTGCCTAGACTGGAAAGCCGACCGGGTGATTTGGGGCCAGTCACCAGGAGATTGGGAGTTCTAGTTCTGTCTTAGACATGAAAGCCAGCTGGGTGACTTCAGGCCAATCACAAAGAGATGAGTTCTAGTCCGGCCTTGGGCATGAAAGCCGGCTGGGTGACATGGGTCCAGTTCCCAGAGATGGTAAGTTCTAGTCCTTCCTTTGGCATGAAAGCAGGCTGGGTGACTTTCAGCCAATCACCAGGAGACAGTGAGTTCTAGTCCTGCCCTAGACAGGAAAGCCAACTGGGTGATTTTGGTCCATTCACCAAGCGACAACGAGTTCTCGTCCCATCCTAGGCATGATTTTGGGCCAATCACCAGGAGATTGGGAATTCTAGTCCTGTCCTAGACATGTAAGCGAACTGGGTGATTTTGGGCCAATCACCAGGAGATGGGAAATTTTAGTCCTGCCCTAGACATGAAAGCCGACTGGGTGATTTTGGGCCAATCACCAGGAAATTGGGAATTCTAGTCCTGCCCTAGACATGTAAGTGAACTGGGTGATTTTGGGCCAGTCACCAGGAGATTGGGAATTCTAGTCCTGCCCTAGACATGAAAGCCGACTGGGTGATTTTGGGCCAGTCACCAGGCAATCGGGAGTTCTGGTCCTGCCCTAGATATGAAAGCCGACTGGGTGATTTGGGGCCAGTCACCAGGAGATTGGGAATTCTAGTCCTGCCCTAGACATGAAAGCCGACTGGGTGATTTTGGGCCAGCCACCAGGAGACGGGGAATTCTAGTTCTGTCTTAGATATGAAAGCCAGCTGGGTGATTTTGGGTTCTAGTCCGGCCTTGGGCATGAAAGCCAGCTGGGTGATTTTGGGCCAGTCACCAGGAGATCGGGAATTCTAGTCCTGCCTTACCCACGAAAGCCAGCTAGGTGACTTTGGGCCAGTCTCTTTGTCGCAGCCCAACCCACCTCACTGGGTTGTTGTTAGGAGGAGGAAGGACTACCAGCTACGCCTGCTGCCTGGAGTTACTTTTAAAGTAATAAAGCTGGGGTGAAAATCAAATAAATAAAAAAATATCCTTGGGCCACTGTGACAATTTTTCCAGGAACCAGAATATCACCTGCTTTAGGATAGGAAACGAAATCCAATCCCACCTCCTTTGTCAAATCCGAAGCGAGTAGCTCGCTCCATGGCATCGGACCTGGCTACCTCCGAGACCGCCTTCTGCCACAGATTTCCTCCCATAGACCGGTACGCTCCCACAGAGCGGGCCTCCTCAGGGTGCCGTCGGCCAAGCAGTGTAGGCTGGCGACCCCCAGGGGGAGGGCCTTCTCTGTGGGTGCCCCCACCCTCTGGAACGAACTACCCCCCGAGATCCGGATGATTCCGGATCTCC